GCCGCATTTTAAGGCCGATTACGTCACAGCGATGCGACGAAGGCTGTCCCAATTCGAAGGCTGCTCAAAATGCGGCCCTCAAATGCATCCTTCATTTCCCTGAATTTTAAGGACGTGGCACTGTATACTTCATGGCCCAACATATCCCAGAATGCATAGCACGGCAGTGGGTGTGGATAATTTTGCCGGAAAAAAACGGCGGATGAGGGGCGCCCGAAGAGTAAACTTTAAGTAAGTACTGAATATTATGTCACTTATTTATGTGCAAATTTTTAATAACGAAGAGCATTAAAACATTACTGTTGGCCACATGTCGGCAAAGTTATGTGACATTAGTGACGTTTGTACTAACTTGGTTTTAAAGCCTTTACTTTAAAATATACGCCGTTCAATAGCAGACCTTAATTAGAGAATGATCAAAGCTCATGTTGAAACAAACAAACAAATGAACAAAAGATTTTCTCCTTCATTTCTGTCTAACAAAGCTGTATGAAACGTTTCCAGCTGTTAGTATCATGGTTGCTAGACAACCTGGGCAACGCAACGGAGGCTAGACCGTCCCATTTCACAAGCCTCGCACTTCCGGCCTTAGCGGTCTTTAAGTACGTGGCCCTTGAGGATCGTTGAGGCTGCGTACTTTAAGGCTGCAGACCCTGCCAGTATCATTCAAATATATTGAATGTCGCAATGTTGGCAAAGAGAGGAAGTGATGTAAGATTTGCGCATGCGGGGTACCGATCGGGTTTCCGGTACGGCTTGGGTAGTAACAATTAAGTTAGCTCGTTGTCAGCTGTCTGGGGACAAGAGGGTCGTTGGTCTAATCTACTGACACTAAGCAATTGTGACAAAAAGGGATAAATAAGCATGTTTATGTATTTTTGAGGGTTACATCAGGAGATGGCACACAAAGACCTACGACTTCTCTACTTCTCCACCTTTGGCATGCTACATATGTGTCTCTAGCTACTTATATAAAACATAATTAGGCAGAACTGCAACTCCAATCTCAGCCACTGTATTCAAGATTGCAGGAAAACATGGGGACTTAGAACAAATTGATACCTCCTAATATGTATTTTTAATGTATTAACTCTAAGTTTATGTAAGCTTATGTACACAGATATTTGTATCTTTATTACCATACATTTATGTATAGTGCTACAATAACTTTTTGATACTGTATTGTTCCTGGTTCTCAACTATGTTTCTCTATCAAAAAGCTACATTCTTTTTTTCCCCAATGAATAAACTAAAAAAAGACTGAGTGTGCCTTTAACGTACAACAATATTAGCTAAGAACAAAAAAGAAACAGCTTAAAAAAAATCAAAGAAAAGCGGCCAATATGGATTGGTGATCCCATGCTCCCTTCCTGCTTATTTTCTGTTCTCTTTTTACTTTCTACTTTTTGAAAAAAAAATGCAAAAATTAATAGAAAAAAAACATACCCACTATATGTTAACTTGATTTAGACTGCAAATAATATGGCCACTCCACTGGCCACTCAGTGAGAGCAGATGTACTTGCAGAATAGTTTCATTATGCATTTAAATAATAAATTATTAATTTAAAATATGTTTCAACATGATTAATATAAATATATTCAATGTTCTCCCTGTGTTTATGTGGGTTCTTTCCAGGTACTCCTGTTTCCTCCCACAAAGACATGCAGTTAGTTGGGTTAGTGTCACGGTCCCCGTGTCTCTCTGGCTGGCCCACGCTGGCTACAGGTTTTGTTGTTGTTCATTTTGGTTTTCTTTCTCTCCTCCTGCTCTCTGCCTGGGTGGAGCTCATTACGGGCTCTCGCTCTTGGCCCACGCACCCGTGTGATGATGTCCACCTGCAGCTGATCGGGCTGATTTCCCCAGCTGCTATTTAAGGCAGTGGCACAGAGCAGCTCACCGCTGGAACGTTAAACTACCTGAGTTCGTGCTCGCGGCTTATTCAAAGAAGTTTTATTTGTTTTACCTGTTGTGGAACTAACCGTGCACTTCTTGTCTGTAGATTCTGGACCAAATCACCGGACCTGTCCAAGTGGGGCAGTGTGTGGAGTGTGGGAGCGAGTGCGGCTGAAGAGGAGTGCGTGTGTGCGGAGGAGCGGTGGCGGTGACTGAGTGGAAAAGGAAGCGCGTGTGTGGATCCCCCCCCCTTCTCTCCCTGGAGCCCTGGACCCCCTCCCAACTCACTGTACATATATTTTGCACTAAGGTGATCCCCATTGTAAATAAATCCCCTTTTGTGTTTCCTTGAAAAGAACTGTCTGCGCGTGAGTCCGTTCAGTAGCCATGACAGTTAGGTTAATTGGTGATTCTAAATTGGCCATAGAAGTGAGAATGGGAAAGTGTAAATGTAAGTGTGAATGGTTGTCTGCCTCTCTGTGTTAGCCCTGTATCAGATTGGTGACCTTATGCAGGGTGTACCCCGCCTCTCGCCCAATGGTGGCTGGGATAGGCTCCAGCCCCCCACCGTCTCCAGTGACCCTGATAAGGATAAGCGGAAAAGAGTGGATGGATGGATATTCTAAATCTGTTATTTACTTTTATACCAATAATTTTGCGTTGCTGTATTGTTCCTGGTCCTCAGCTATGTCTCTCCATCCAAAAGCTGCTTTACCAGGGTCTTTAGCTGCACACTAACATCGTTTGCATTACTGATAACATTACTTTTCAAAGCACTTTAAAAAGAAAGCAGTCAGTATGCATTTCTAGACGGCAGCATAATCAAATTTGAAATTTGAAACTTGCTTGAAACATGTAATTCATCATAATGAACATCAAGTATGCTTTTTATGGCCAAATCTCTGATACGGCCATGTGGTAATGGATCGTAGCATTTTCAAATCAATCAGTTTCCACACAGTGATAACCCTACCTGGCTCAAGTGAGTTTCAAGTAGTTGCAAATCGATTTCCCTACTCTACTGAAATAAACTGCAGAGAGTGGCTGAATAAAAGGGAAGTAGTACGACATCCGTGACATCTTAAGTGCACAAAGATGAAGTAGTCATATTAAGTATACGCAATACGTAGTAAACAAAACTGTTTGTGTTGTTCTTTAAATTAGAACAACTGGAGTTGTCAATTAAGCATAATGTTAGTTTAGTTAGGCCACTAAATTAATATTAGCTTCCATCCCAGAAGATCTGCTGAACCCTTGACAACAGGTACACATATTGATTTGCCTGGCACCAGAATTACCCAAATTCCAGTGTTCTTGGTCCTGGGTGGTTAGCGTACCATATGTCAGATTATGAATCGGTCCATCTCATGCCTGTGTGCAACACACACACAGCTGTCGAGACTGATATGTCCTTAGCGTGGAAGCATTTCACTGTGGGTGAAGACAGTCCCCCAAGCTAAACGGTGGAGGGATGACGATGAAAACATAAGAAGCTAACAAAAAGTTAAAATGACTAAAGCTATCCGGAGCTCAAAGCTAGCCACAAGGCAGCAGCCTTGGTATGAGCAAAGGATTGAAACAGTTATGAGAAAAATATTGAAAAAAAGTATCAAAATCTTGTTATCTGTAACGGGACTGAAGTTGTAAGCATACTAAAAAAATTATGTAAGTACTTGACATTTGTTTTGTTATATAAATCTGTTGCACATGCTTTTTGTTTGATTAGGTAAAGTATGTCAGGTAGCTCTTGTACCCCTTTCCAGTGACAGAGCAATTAAGTTTTAGCTGATTTAATGTGAGAAGATCCTGTAATTTACCACAGTTTGGACAAAAATGGAGCATTTAATAATTTATTTTATTATGAAAGTCTTCTGAATTTGCTGTCAGTTAAAGTTCTTAAAAAAATCTGAATCAGCAGACCATGCTTAGAAAATAATCGTAAATGGGAATCAGCCAAGAAAACTGCAGTCGGTACATCTCTGCCTTTTATACATCCAACTGTTAAATCTTAAAGGGGACCGTTTATGTGGCTTTAGTCTGCCTACATCTACTGCTCATCTGCAAGCCGCTTCGCAACCCGCCCCAGCTTCTCTTTTTTATGTCATGACTCTGGTTTTCACATATTTCACATATTTATTGTGGGACCTTGTGGGAAGGTCCCACAATAAAGCCAAAAAGCCAAATATAAATTACTGCAGATGGCTAAAGTGGTCCTGACTGAACTGTGAACATTGAAACAAACAAGATTTCAGTTAAAAAGCCTTTCTTTTATTTGGTTTTGTGAATCAGCGATCTGGTTTACACAGGTTCCATCTGCCCTGAACTGAACTATCTGGATGAAATTAGTTATTCCTACTTGGCGCCAGGAAGAGTTATTAGCATGACAGCCTCTATTTGATATTTGTCAAGCTAAACACACACATACTGTATATATACAACATACAGGAAATTGTTTCAAACACTGGCTCAGACTTGAGAAATTAACAACTCTGCACGGCAGCAACAAACACTACTGTCTGCATTCCTCGCGTGGAAAGCAGCTCCAAAATGTGACAAATCTATCCTCTGCCAGCTTCCTCCTTCAACACACCCACACCCTGAGCCAGCACAGCCCCCCCCCCAAGCACCACCAGCGCTACCACCAACATCCACACCCCTCCCTTGGGCCCCCTTCAGCCGGCTGCATGTCTCTGGAGGTCGCCTCTGACGTCAGCAGCTCAACTGGGCACTGTGCCAACCCTGTGGGCCCTTGATGGATGCAGTCGGTCTGAGAAACAGCTCGCTGTGAGTAGAGTGCACGGCACAAACTCAGCCCAGCCGGCTCAAACACATCTAATGACCCGTAAAAACCGGACAGGTCCATTCCTTCTCCTTTTCTTTTGTGTATCACAAACATGGAAGATTAAAGGAGACACATGTGATGATGAGTGATATGCACTGCTAATGGCCAGGATAATAAACAGAGCCTGCAAATGCACTGTTGTTCCCCAGACTTACAAAAACTGCAATTCTTAAATCCAAGCATTTTGTCTTAGTGATCCAGAGAGATGCAGCTGACTCTGTAGGTTTTTTTTCCGGAAAAGGGGGGGGGAAGGGGGGTATACCTGCAGGCCTGCTGCTGGTTTTCCTCTTCAGCCATCTGTCCAACGTCTCTGCACTCACACTCTCCAACACAAAGTCATCCAGAATCTGCGGGTGCAGCGAGAGGTAGGCCTTCACTTTCTCATCTGTCAAGCCTGAAACACAAAAAAAACCACTTTAAAAAACTTTATTTAAGACTAATGAAACTGTGAGAAAAAACAACAACAAAAACACCAAAACAATACTGATGTGAGATAATGAACAGAATCATTGATGCTAGAAAGGAGAAGTGTAGCACGTGAGAGGAATGAAATAACATCTCACTTGAACCCACAATGATCCCGAAGGTCACCCAAACAAATGCAAAGGATGAAAACAGCTGAAGTTCACTTCATTCTCTTCACGGTGAGGTGAGAGCGGTGGCAGCCGAGCCGAGGTTCGAGTTAAAGCTCTTTGATAGCCGGGCTAGCTCACTTATGTTTACTGTAAATCTGTATCTCCAGGGATAGGAGCCCCCAACAGAGGCAACAGGATAAAGGAGGACTCGATTGTGCTTAATAGGCAATTAGGATCTTGAGAGCTTGCTAAGTGCTGCTGTTTACTGTCTTTGTTGTCAGGGAAAAAAGCCATTTGCCAGACCATCGTTGAGGGAAAGTTGTTTTTAATACCCCCACTGGCGTCTGTGAAGCAGTCATGATGCACTAGGACGCCATCATGTTTAGGTCACTCAAACAAATGTCTAAAACAAAGACTTCTAACTGTATACATTTAGACGTGAAGTGTCATCTCATAATGAGAAGAAATGCATTCTTACAAAAGACAAACAGAGGTGAATTTACATTTTATGGCATGGTAAACTATAACTATACGTTTTCAGATAATAGTAGAGAGAAGAGTGTTGACAGCCCTGAAAGTTTTTATAACGCTTTCTCACGAAATGTCTGGTTATCAGGAGCATCTGTGTAGACTCCCTCTGTAGATGCACAAACACACACACATGTGGCATGAAAACATTAGTAAGTGGGGTGTCAGTCAGGAAAACTGCATGAATATCAGTGTTGTGAATCGCTACAGATCCCTGTAGACAACACAACAGTAAGCCGGGTGTGTGTGTGTGGGTTGGAGGGGGTGGGGGGTGAGTGTTGTGCCAGATGACAAAGTAAAACCAGATGCAGAGATAGAAAGACTAAATTCTGCTTCAGCTGCAGGTAACCTGTTATGAGCCCATAAAAGGTTGTGGTTAAAGAATATCTTTCACTTTTAATTTAATTTTAGGATCATAGTGCTCCTGATTCAGACTCTGAGCTATCCACGACCTTTGATCTATCCCTGCAGAACAAATCATTTGATGTTCAGTTACGATCATCTGCCCAGAGTGTGTGTGTGTGTGTATAGATAGAGCAGGCTTTTGGTTACAGGCAAATAAGGCAAACAGAGGTGGGGGTAAGTTTGGGGGGTGGAGGACGCTACAGTCTGATGCTGTCCAGACACGAGACACAGCTCCTCAGGAGCGGAACGCCTCACGAGACTCCTGGCCAGCTCTGACGCACATCGGCAGAATACAGCTTAATAAATCAGGAAAAGTTAAAGAGGGGTTGGGGTGGGACGGAGAGAGCTGCAGAGGACAGAAAGACACACGGAGAGGAGCTAAATGGGAGCGCTGCAAATAACCCCTACAACTTTGTCCTATTTGAAACACAAAGAAGGCACTGTGATTGGTGACATTACAAAAGATGAAAAACAAGGATGCTGTATAAATTTATGAATACAAGTTTTGTGTGAAAGGAGTCTGAAAATTGTTTAGCAATCATATGTGTGCACATGAACAAAATAGTCAAATGTTCTATTTCCATGGGGCAAGAACAGCAGTGATAAGAGCTTTGCAATGGCTAATAAAATGGTGTTAATTAAAATTTCTAGGGCTACACAAGTGGGGAAAAGTGGGCATTTGTAAGACCTAAATGACAACGACGGGTCAAAACTGCGGCGCAAGCCCAATGCATGTGCCACATTCTGTAGCTTAAAGGAATCAACTAATAGTGCTGTAGCAACTTCACTGGTGACAGATACACACATTATATTCATTCATGTGTGTGTTTAGAAGAAACATTGTTTATAGATAAAGTAAAAAATGTCAATATCATCAATCTGTTCTTTTACAAGAATCCAGAGAAATGACTGACTTGACCTAATGTGACTATATTTTACCTTGATTGTGATTAATAATTCCCTTTTTGAACATTCCTGCTACGTCACGTTGACCTTATAGGCTTTCCTTCTGAAATCTTTCGAGCCACAGCGCACATTAATGTGACTGCAGTGAGACTCAGAGCTGTGGGATATGCGTCAGTGTCCTGGTCCTGAGACTATAGAGGCTAATCAAAGGTGCAGCCCAATCTGTCCCACATGCTGCAGTCCAGAATGGCTAACCCCACTGGGAACTATATGTGCTCACTCAATCAGGACAGTGAGAGACTGCTGTTGCAGATGCAACAGCTTGGTGACTGGTTTAACCAGGTTTTTAATTGTTTCCCCCCTTT